CACACACACACACACACACACACACACACACACACACACCCTCTTAAGGGAATTTGACACGAGCACTCTCTCTAGCTGTACATCTGTTTCTTCCTCTCCCTGCTGCTCACTCTGCTGTTACGACAGTAAGATAATAAGTTCACAAGTTTACCTTTAAAACTTTATCAGGAAAACAGGAAGCGGCCGACTCGAAAGAAAGTTATAAAAAATATCAAAACTGTCCAGATGAAATAAAAACTCTTTTTCATTGTGTTGTTTGAAAGTTTGAGGGTGTAGCGTCCTCTGAAGGAAACCTGATGTCGTGAGGGACAGACTGAAGAATCATTTACTTTATTAATTAGTTTAAATCCATGTGGGTCAAATTTGATCAAATTATCACTTCGGCTGCAGAAAACTGGAGTTTCCTTTAAATCCAGGAGAGGAGGAGGAGGAGGAGGAGGAAGAGGAGCGGACAGAGACTCAGAGAATGGTTTAAAGGATTTTAAAAGGAAGTATGAAATGAAGAAAGTAAGTGAGAGGTGAAGAGAATAAGAAGAAGAGAGCGAGAGAAGAAGGGTTTAAGGAAAGCCGAGAGAACGAGAGAGAGACACAGAGAGGAGGAGAGAGAGGAGCTGCAAAGAGTTAATGAGATTGAAAAGAGGAGAGATTATAAAAAGTGTGATGAAGGAGTTAAATAAGGAGCGTAATCAGAGCGAGTGTGTGCAGCAGCTCAGGACTCAGACCTGGTGCTTCTGCTCCGGAGGTTTGATCCTACGACCAGCTGACGTGGCTCAGAGCCTCCAACAGCTGATTCCAGATGTGCAGGATCAGAGCGACACGTCCCTGCAGAGCGAGAAGCTAACACACCTGTATCCAACACCTGTCCTGAGAGAAGTCTCTGTTCAGTGTTCATACCTCAGATCATTTACCTCCAGTTTCAGATGGTGGGAGGAAGAATTAGGAAATGTTCACCAGGGTGGAAACATCTCCACAGTCCATGAATCCAATAGTTGCTCAGCAGAAAGAAAACAAGCAGCTGTTTTTAAAATATGGTAAAGGTCAGGTTTTTTAAATCATCCTCTGATTCCAGCTTCTCATTGTTCGAAGAGTCGTTCTTGTTGAGAGGAAGCTGATTGGACGAACAAGTCAATTCTAAACCGTCATGATTACAGGACACTTACAGTGTCATCAAATTTAAATCTGTCGTTATTTTTAAATGTTCAGATGAATGAATCTGATGAAGATAAATGGAGCAATAGTTCGTAAAGAGAAGGTAGAGATTCAGATTTCACTCACTCGGAGACAAACTAATGGAACTTTTGAAAGAGCAGCAGAGGAGGCACAGCAGATTAGAGGAAATTCATAATGAGAGAAAGATGGAGCGACCCAGGGGAGAGAGAGAAGTCGTGTTTATGGCGATGCATCTCTCTGCCGCACTTTATTTTGAAATGCAAAGAAATGTGGTTGGAAAATATAGTTTTCTTCATCTAAAGAAAAGTCATCTGGGATTTTAACAGCGAGCGGCGTTCATAATATTCCCAGACCATCGTTCAGTCCCGCAGCCACGAATACAAAGTGTTCCCCCCCCCCCATGTTGAACACGTGTTTTTACTCAGCGTGCAAATCATCAACTGTAACAGGATGAAATCAGAAGCTCAGACTCTGTCACAGACTTTAGCTCGGAGGTGAAACAGTTTGTGTTCGAGCCGGACGGAGCCGTCTGTCAGGTTCCGAGAGAAAAACTGAAATATGGAAAAACCTTCAGTGAGAGATTTCTGCACGATACCAACAAATACGAGCCGCCTGCTTTCAAACAGAGAGAGGAGACATCTCATTCAGAGCACGTTCGTGTGATCGGCAGCTCAGACAAGACGCCGCCGCTGATATTTACATTTCAGAGTCAACGAAGAACCGAGTTCAGCTCGACCCAAAACCAACTGAACCAATCAAACTCAGGGCGGGAGAGTCAGGCCGCTGGTCAGCACCTGAGCTAATTAAAGAGAGGGAAGAAGGAGAGGGAGAGAGAGAGAGAGAGAGGGAGAGAGGGAGGGAAGAAGGAGCAGGACGAACAGAGAGGGGGAGGGAGAGAGGGAGAGAGGGAAGAAGGAGCAGGACGAACAGAGAGAGGGAGAG